TTTGACTTTTTGTTTCAGTATTTAGAACTCCTTTGAGTATTTCTTGTAGAGCTGGTCTAGTGGTGACAAATTCCCTTAGCATTTGCCTATCTGAGAAAGACTTCATTTCTCCTTCATTTATGAAACTTTGTTTTGTAGAATACAAAATCCTTGGCTGGCTGTTATTCTGTTTAAGGATATTGAAGATGGGGCCCCACTCCCTTCTGGCTTGTAGGGTTTCTTCTGAGAAGTCTGCTGTTAGTCTGATAGGTTTCCCATTATAAGTTATGTTTCTACCTCAATGCTCCTAAAGTTCTTTCCTTCACATTAACTTTGCATAACTGGATGATTATATACCTTGAAGATGACCTTTTTGCAGTGAATCTTCTGGGGGTTCTCTGGGCTTCTTATATCTGGATGTTCAAATTTCTGGCAAGGCTAGGGAAGTATTTCTCCTTTATTCCTTCAAATAGGTTTTCCAAACCTGTTGCTTTCTCTTCTTCCTCAGGAACACTTGCAATTCTTAGGATTGGATGTTTTACATAATCCCACATTTCTTGGAGATTATGTTCCGTTCTCTTGATTCTTTTTTTTTTTTTTATTGTCTACTTGGGTCAATTCAAAAGCCTTTTCTTCAAGTTCTGAGAACCTTTCTTCTGCTTGTTCTAGCCTACTGTTAAAACTTTCCACTGCATTTTGTACTTTTCTGAATGATTCATTTCTAGAATTTCAACTTGTTTTTTTTAAGGTGTCTTTTTCTTTGGAGAATTTTTCATGCATATCCTGAATAGTTGTTTGGTTTTTTTTTATTGGTTTTCGATTTTTTCCTGAAGTTTATTAATCAATTTTAAAATACCTTTTGAATTCTGTGTCTGGAATTGCAAAGATTTCATTTTGGTTAGGGTCCATCACAGAAGAACTAGTGTGGTCTTTTAGGAGTGTTGGATAACTCTGTTTTTTCATATTGTCAGCATTATTTGTCTGGTTCCTTCTCATTTGAATCGATTATTTCCTCTTATTTGAGGTTGGCAGGAGCTGACATAGACACTGTAGTGTTTCATTGGTTGTATATAGCTTTGGTGTGGTGAGTTTCTCAATTGTCAGTTGTGGCAGTCTTGTATTGGATACCTGCACTGGTTCACAGCATCCTGAGTGGCCAGAGTGGCTTGGCAAGTGGTGTTAGCTGGGGTCTGGGATCAGGCCTTACCCAGAGCTGAGGTATTATATCCGATGCGGTAGTTGTGCTGTTGACCTCCAGCCAGGAGGTGGCACTTGTGGGGAAAAGCCAGTTGCAATGGTGGCTGCGGGTGGTTCTCCTTGGCAAGTGTTGCTCCAAGCAAGTGCCCTGCCAAACTACAGAGCAGGGCTCTAGGGATCACCCAAGTTCTCTGTCAGTTGTAAGCCTTTGAGGGAAGTGTAAGGGAGTAAGGGTTGGGGGGAGAGGAGCAGCCCACATGTATGCCCTCTTGGCTACCCCAGTGGTGATGAGGAGTGAGCCCCAGACTACTGGGGTAATGCTGTTGTGCAGAGCAGGCACAGAAGAGTTTACAAGGGGAGTGAGAAGTTGCTATGGCAATGAGTCCCACTTGGCTCCTGCCTTGGCCTCAGGCAATTTGCCTTCTGAATGTCAAAGTGCAGCCAGCCTGGCAGGGGGGCCTCAGGTGTCTCCACAGCAACCCACCCCAGCCAGGAACTCTGCTTCTTTGCAGTTTGCTCTTAGAGCCTGTCCCTTCCCTGGTTGGCTAAGAAAGCAGTCACACAAGGATTGAGTTCCTTGGGTTATGGCGGTCATGGCTGCACCGCTCCACGTGGGTTTTGGCAGAGCATGGCTGTAGGTAAGGCAGTTTCCTGTAAGGGATTGGAGTCCCATAAGGCTGAGGGGCCCTCCAAGAATCTGCAGCAGCAGTACAGAATTCCTGAATTCCTCTCACTCACCCGTCTGGAGGCTGCTGATTGTCTGTGGTGATCCATGCAAGAGTGTGACTAGTTCCAGCCCAAGTTGAAGAATTTTCCTCTTTTTTTGGCACTCTGTGGTTATTATCACTTTTTTGATGAGCTGTGGGTCATGCTGCTGGTCCTGTTCCTCTTTGGGTGCTGAGGAAACTCTCTCTATTTTGGTTTACTCTAGCTGCCTCATGTCAGTCATCTTAATCCAATCCTGAAAGCCTACTTTTTAAAGTTAATGTCTACACATTGAACATTGTTGTTCACTATTAGTTAAATCCAGGCAACAAGTAAGATAAATTTGGGATCTTCTAGAAATGGTTCATACTTACAGATCTACAGGGAGAGATCCAGTTTTATAAAAATATAGTCCAACCATAGTGCCAAACTATCATAGATTATAACTCCATGGATTTGAGGAAATGGATTAGTCTTACAAATTTTGGCTTAGATCTAAAGTACAAAATATAAGAGCATAGTTGTAGATCTACTGAATCAAAATGAGCCAATTTAACTTTTTACTTAAAGAGACTCCAGTATTTTTATGAGAAAATGTAATAATAAATCAAATTCTTAAAATAGAAAGGTGAAGCATGCAAATGACAATTGATCAATTTTTGAAAGATAGAGTCCATGTTCATTTCCTTCTTTACTGTCAAAACTTTTAAAAGTCAGCAAATGTACAATTTATGCTAGAGAACTTTCTCCAAAATCAACTACAGAAAATAAATGACCAAAATACTGAAGAGGTTTTTTTAAGGGGCTACACACTATTATTTTCGATAGCAGAGGGTCAAAGTTGCCAAAAATGTGTGCTAAAGTAAGCATTATCTTGAGTCTTGATTACTTAGTGTGGTTTCGGGTCCTCATGAAAACTACTCCTTCCTTAAGTAAAACCTGTTTTCTCTACTGTGTTTGCATATTTATCTCAGTTTCATAAATGAAGGTGCTAACTTATTCATCAACTTTGAAAACACTCACAAAATAGGATGGAAAATTAAAGCCTGACTAATTCAAGCAGGAGTAAAGAATATTTACTTTTCCCTGAAATTAAAAACAAAAAAATCGGTTATGGGATTTTTTTCCTGAACTCTGAATATTTACCTACTTTCCCCATGTGTATTTTTGTTCAAATGTATATGTATGCTATCAACTCTAAAGTTTTCTGAAAGAAGATTTTGAGCAACTCTGAGACTTCAGATTTAAGAGGATTCAGCAAGAAAAGGAGAATGATGAGCCTGAGAGCTGTCTTCTCATCTGACATTGAGAGAAGAATGGCTGTGGCCTTGCCTTTTTCAGTTACATCTTGAAGTTCCGTCAAAGAGTTTACATTGTTGATTGTAGACTACTATCACCAAGACCTTATTAAAGGAGCCAACAATGTACATGGACTCTTTTTTCCTAAGCCTCCCCCAATTTTTTTTTTTTTTTTTTTTTGAGTTAGAGTCTCACTCCATTGCCCAGGCTGGAGTGCAGTGGCACACTCATGGCCACCCCAGCATCGACTTGCTGGGCTCTGGCAATCCTTCCAACTTCTAAGTAGCTGGAACTACAGGCACACACTAGCACGCCTGGCTAATTTTTTATTTATTGTAGAGACGAGGTCCCGCCTGGTCTCGAAACTGGAGGCTCAGGTCTCGAACCTGGAGGCTCAGGCAATCCACTTGCCTCGGCCTCCCAAAGTGCTGGGATTACAGGCTGAGCCTCCCCTTTTTATTATAATGTAAAGGTAAAGAAAAGAAATAGTATCAGTCTTTTATATACTCAGGATGATAACTATGTGATAAGTAAACTCCAACAACTCTTCCCACATCACTGGCAGACGTCATTAACCAATCATGAGACTCTTTACCTCTGAACCCGGATCCCGGATCCTGGCTCAGAATCCTCAGCAGAGCACTGCAGTTAATTAACTATAATTAATTAATATCCACACTTGAGACAACACCTCTTTGCCATTCCCCTGGTGTTCATTCTGAGCAAGTAATAGGTGATTAGCCTGAATGTGATAAAACATAAAAGACAAAGGTTACTGCTATTGTTTAGAACTGCCTGTTTTTCACAAGAGAAGTGACTAACTGGTATTAGACCTGCCCTGAAAAGGAGTATGGCTACAAAATAACCATATCACATCAGTAACCCACAGCCCATCAGCTTAGTATGTCCTGCTCCCTGACCTGTGGAAATGGGTTCGGGTTCAAGAACCCTCTGAAGGCTGCTTGGACTCACGTCAATAGCATAGACTACGAAGGGGTTATGCACAGAGGAACAGGAAACCCTGCACAGTGCACTGGGACAGCAGACAGAGACATCCCAGGAGCTGCTCTGAAACTCTGACTTCCTGTTCCTCCTTTACATTGCTGTCACTTTCACACAGGCACATGATGGTGACAACAGCCCCTTGGCTCCTACAGGGCAGTGTGGCTTTCCATATGTGCTCTCACTTTTCACCTCAGTCAGCACAGAGAAGCAGTACGGGCATTGGTAGCCCCAATTTTGCAACAAAAGAGAGTCTGGCTAATTTTTTATTTATTGTAGAGACGAGGTCCCGCCTGGTCTCGAACCTGGAGGCTCAGGTCTCGAACCTGGAGGCTCAGGCAATCCACTTGCCTCGGCCTCCCAAAGTGCTGGGATTACAGGCTGAGCCTCCCCTTTTTATTATAATGTAAAGGTAAAGAAAAGAAATAGTATCAGTCTTTTATATACTCAGGATGATAACTATGTGATAAGTAAACTCCAACAACTCTTCCAAAATCATATAGCCATTGAGGTCCCAAATGGCTTTCATCTGATATAGATGAAAGAAAGTGGCAGAAGATGGATATTTTGAATTATCTTCCATTTTAAGTTTCAGATAATTGTGCCAATTCTCTTCATCACCTGGTGTGTCTAGGAGCAGCTTACAGTGTGATAGTGAACCAGTTATGTAGTGTAGGCATGATGGTAAACCAGTTGTGTGGTGTAGGCATGATGGTGTAGGTAGTTCTCCCTAGAGGAGCTTCTGACTCATTTAATAATGAAGGGGCCATTCAGAGACTTGGTTATTAAAAGAGACTTTCTGTTCATTTCTCTGACAGCTGGTTACCTTGTTGCAGATGTGGGTTGTCCCTTTGTATTTCACAATAAAACTTTACTGGTGGCGTTTTCTGTCCATGTGGGGAATGTTTTCCATTATTACCAGTTATATCCTCTTCAGAGCTACCAGGAAACCCCTCTCAGGAAGGACACCACGGTATGTATTCCATTGATTACTTTCTCATGATCCCTTTTATTTTAAACATTAAAAGTATATTTGGTTTCCATTGTCCTGGATTATGGGGATGTTACATTTCTTTTATACATCTTTGACCTTTGGTAGCAAAACTAGTGGGAGATTAACTGTACTTCTATTGCTCTCTTCATATTTAATGGTGATTCAGACATGCCTATAACATTTACTGTTTCAAACAGCAGCTAGTGAAGGCCAGGAGAAAGAGAAGTGAAACTGTTGTTTAAAATTTCTAGAGCACTGTTTGCATGTTTATTTTTAGCTCAGCATTTTGCTTTATTCCACTCTAAATTGTGTCACACACATTTTAAAGTAGAGCAAGAGTTGAAAGTTGTATTTCAATCTGAAAATATCAAATAAATCTTGAATAATGGGCAGCTTATCACTCTCATAAAAATGATGCTTTAATATTCCAATGACCACTTTGATCCCCATTGTCAACCTCTGGAGAGTTATAATACACACACACACACACACACACACACACACATACATACACACACACATATACATACATATATGTGCGTTCACACATACACATGCACACACACATACATATATATACAATATATATAATTACATTTTATCATTCCCAAATCTTTCCAAAGTGCTTCTAATCATATAGTGTCTCCAAGCCTGCTTTTGTCTTCCTTGTTCCATGGGCATGTGCATATAAAATAGCTGAAGGGCTAAATAATCATAGAAGTATTTCAGTGGAGCTTATGATTTATTCTCCAAAAAGATCAGAATCCAAGATTTCCTATTACTATTGTACATTTTAAATACTTTTATGATTATTTAGCCATTTAGATATTTGTTTAAATCCTCTTTAAAAAATAAGAATGATAAATGTAAAATTTTCCTTTTACTTTGAAGAAGAAAAAATATGCAATGAGAAAAATCAGATAAATGTTATGATAAAAACTGAAGTTCAAACACATGACTTCAGGTTTATGAGCATTTTAATTTAGTTCTACTTTGGGAAAAACTTTGTTGGGGTGGTATTAGGAGACCTTCTAACTGGCCACTTTGGGATCTTAGAGAGCTTTTTAGGGTTTGGCTTACCCATCAGTAAAGTGATCATGTGGTACTCTTTCTCAAAATATTCTAAGTTATTTAAGCTTTGTGAAAGTGCTGTGAGTTTGGGACCAATCAAAATGTACTTGTTTTTATCCTCTGCATGTTAATCTATTTGCATTCCAATGGGAATGGCTCACTTTTCCACTGTATAATGAATAGCCCTAGCTAAAGGCAATGTTTCTGAGCACATAAGCTCACTCGATGCAGAGGAACTTTATTACAAGAAATACCCAAATACTGTTCTTTACCCTTTGTGGCTTCTTTTTGTCAGCTGGCCAAGGTGCCATGACCTGTCCCCCCCATACCCACAACATGTCCACTCAGCTTCTTCTTGCCTGTACAGCTCCGAGACCCACAGGACAGTCTAAGATCCAAGAGGCTCCACTGACACTGTAAAGCAAAACCAGCTGCTACTGGAAGAGAAAACAGTGAGAGGCTAAGTAGACCTCTTATTGAAAAACAGGATAAAGGAGCCCCTGTATATGAGGGTGGTCGGCCCCAGGATCTTTACAGATCTTCACGTAGTCATTGTGTTGTCCATGTGTCGCTCTTAGCTATCTCCCTTTTGGAAGCAGAGGATTTCATTACTGGCTAAGAAAACTGAGTGACGAAATCAGCATTGGTACAGAAAGCAGACCCAAGAGCAGTGGTCTCCAGCAGCAGCATAGTTCAAAGCCCATTGTTCCTCCCCGAGAGCGTACCAAGTCCTTGATGCAGGACAGAGAACCAGAGAAGGAGAAGTAGGTTTCTCCTCTACTATAGTTGGGCTGTCTGTCAACAGTGAAGTTCAGGCTCAAAAATAGGCCACATGCTAGCCACAAAGAGCTGGGCTTGACCACATCAATTCCATCCCAAAGCAAGCTTTCCATTTGGAGGCTGCTCTGAAGCAGTTACGCAATCTCTTGCCTGACTTATCTGCCTCACAGTGTTAGGTCTGAGTAGCAAAAGAAGTTCTGGACTCTCCTGCTCCTGGAAACTTTTGCCCCCAATAGGTAGAAAGGTGATGAGATTTGGAAACTAACACATCCATAACAATGATACGACATAATGAGTATTTAATGTGCCAAGTCTCTTAAACATGAAAACATTAGTTCACATAATCTTCAGAACAACTGTAGGAGCTAGAGTTATCATCCTCACCGTAGAAATGAGGCAGTCATGGGAAGAAATGCCAAAAAATTGACCAAAGTCCCATAGGCAGTACGCAGCAATATCCTGAATCAGACCAAAGATTACTTGACCGCTAAGCCCCTGCACTCACAGCACACTGTGGCTTAGCTAAATCAACACACCACTTTGCACAGAAAAACCCTGCAGTTTAAGAACCCTGCAGGCACAACTTTGAAAGGAGCCCTTCACAGCAGGGCGGTGGTACGCTGAGTATGTGTGGAGGTCAAGGAAGCCACATTCTGGTGTTGGAGGGAGATGTAAGGAGACCCTTTGAGAGCTTGCCGGTTATTCCATCATCCCTTTGCAATATAAATTTCCACCTCGATCTGGCTCCCCTGAGCAATGATCCAAGCTGCTCAGCTCTAACAAATCAAAAGAACCAATGGCTCAAGAGTCATATGGCAGAAAGAGCCTACAAACCCTCTCTGGCCCCCTTCGGAGGCGCCACAGCCTCATGGCGATTTAAGCCAACTTGTGCAGCCCTGCAAGTTTCTGGCTCAGCATCACTCATCCCTGCCCACCCCTCCCTGGGGCAGAAGCACACCTGAGTGGAAAAGGAGCCGGCACAGGTGGCCCCCGGGTGTCAGTTGCTTGAAGAGGAGAAAGCATTTCACTACAGGAGTGATGTTCTCAGGCTAGCCCACCACCCCGTTTAACCCATAGTGTTCAGGGGGTCGCTTCTGACTGGAACTCAGTGAAATAGAGCAGCTTTTAAAATAATATGGAAGCTTTATACCAGGAATGTCACAGGTCTTAAGCACTTGGTACAGTGGCTCCAAGAGGGAGAAGGTTGGGGAAGATGAGAGAGTCGAAAGTAGGGCTTGAGTTGAGGATGAGAGGGTAGGGCTGAATCTCCGGATGAGACTCCGAAAGAGGTTTGGGGTGGAAGGCAGGACTTGAAGAGGACGTACGAGGGCTGAGAGGCAAATAGGGCCTCCTGCCATTGCACACCTCATGAGCAACATTCCAATGGCCCCCATATTTTCTTTGGGTACCAGAGATCAGCCCCCAGCTTCTTCCTCGTCTACCACCTTTTGCTGTGACCCACCAAGATGGAACTTGGGCTCCCAATGACTTCTCATGGTCTCCCAGGCATGGAGCTGTCACGTGGCCCTTTCTGTAGTTTTTCCAAGAGCCCTTACTACCAGTGAAGAAGGAATGCAGCCCCCAACTACCAGTGAAGAAGAAATCCAGCTGAGCAGAGGGCTTCCTCCTAGATCCACTCCACTTGCCCTCCATCCTCATTCACTTCCTTAGACCCTAAGAGGAAGAAGGGAAGGCCTTGGGCCAGTCACGGGGAGAGCTGGGATACACACTGGACTCATCTACACAGCAGAAGAAAACAAGGTCGAGGCTCCCTTTTAACTTCATCCCCCGGGGTAGGGGAGGGCTCCTTGGGTAGAGAGGTGATAGGGTGAGAGCTGGGCCCACTATTGGTAATATCTGCACTGGGGATGGGGGCAGAAGGGTAGCATAGCAAAGAGAAGAAAAACTCCTGGGGGAGGAGGCCTGGTCTCCCCCTTAACTTCTCGTCCCATTTTTTGCTTTCCTCCTAGGCACTCCTGCCAAAACCACACAAGGCTAACCCTAGGGCCAAATGAAAAGGGGGATCATGGGAGGGAGGGGTCCCAGGAAGTGTAGTCATTCCTGAAGACCATTTTTACCTGAGGGACTTAGATAAATTAAAAGGAATTTACATATGTATATATGCACAGAAACACATGTGCATGATGGCACTATTTATATGTGGTTTGTTGCTACTATATAAAAATTATGGATTATTATTGAGTTTAACTGATATTATATATATACTTATGTTCTGTATATTATGTAATAAATAGAATTTTAGAAACTAAAAACTTGTGACAATGTCTGAAAAAGGTGAAATGTTTCATAATATTCTCATGTTCTGTGTTTTAAGAACATGAGAATATGTTTCATAATATTCTCATGTTCTGTGTTTTAAGAACATGAGAATATTATGTATAATCCCCATTTTTACTCCACAGATTGGTCTACAAATGGTTTCTTCTCATCTACAAACTCAGCTATGCTTTTGGTGTTATGGGTTATTTGGTGATCATGTTTACAATGTGTGGATTCAATCTGTTTTTCAAGTAAGTATCTCTAATTAAGACAATTAAGGTAAGTGTTCTTTTTCTGGGAGCATTTGGCCCTGGAATTTTCCATGCACACGTTTTGTAGTGTAGATATCCACACATAGTTTGTCATTTAGCAAACCAATAGAAAAGGGAAAATGGTATACCCTACAAAATACTATTGTTTTAATTAGGAGCTTTAAAGATAATCTAACTTGATCTGCGAGTTCAAAAGAGCACCATTGACCGGTCTGTAATCCTATCATTTTGGGTGGCTAAGATAGGCAGATTGCTTGAGACCAGGAGTTTAAGACCAGCCTGGGCAACATAGTAAAACCTCATCTCTGTTAAAAAAAAAAAAAAAAAAAGAAAAGAAAGAAAGAAAATCAAAATGTTAGCTGGGCATGGTGGCACATGCTTGTAGTCCCAGCTACTTGGGATGCTAGGTGAAAGGATAGCTTGAGCCCAGGAGGTTGAGGCTGCCGTGAACTGTGATCATCGTAATCATACCACGGTATTTCAGCTTGTGCAACAGAGATCCTGACTCAAAAAAAAAAAAAGCACCATTGAAAGTGGGCCTACACTCATGGTAGAGTAATTCAAACTAAACCTCTAATTTCCCTTCCACAAAATTCTGAAGTATCCAGATCTCCTTTTATGTATCTTCTTGCTTAAAACTTCTAGAATTATATTGTTCAATACAGTAGCCACTACCTCATGTGACTGTTGAGCACTTAAAATATAAAATAAGATGTACTGTAAATCCGGCTCAGTGGCTCAGCCTGCAATCCCGCGCTTTGGGAGGCTGAGGTGAGTGGATTGCCTGCGCCCTCAGGTTTGAGACCCTCCTGGGCAACTTGGCAAGACCTCATCTCTACAGTAAATCAAAAAATTAGCCGGGCGTGGTAGCGCATGCCTGTAGTTCTAGCTACTTGGAAGGCTGAGGCAGAAGGATCGCCGGAGTCCAGCAGGCCGAGGCTGCGGTGGCCGAGAGCACTCCAGTCTGGGCGACAGAGACTCCAACTCAAAAAAAAAAAAAAAAAAAAAAGATGTACTGTAAGTGTAAAATATGCATTGAATTTCAAAGACTTATATGAGGCCAGGCTCGGTGGCTCAGCCTGTAATCCCAGCACTTTGGAAGACTGAGGCAATTGGATTGCCTGAACCTGAGAGTTTGAGACCCACCTGGGCAATCTAGTGAGACCTCATCTCTACATAAAAAAAAATTTTTTTTTTAAATTAGCCAGGCGTGGTAGCATGCACCTATAGTTCCAGCTACATGGAAGGCTGAGGCAGAAGGATCGGTGGAGCCCAGCAGGTCAATGCTGGGGTAGCTGTGAGCATGCCACTATACTACAGCCTAGGTGACGGAGTGAGACTCCAACTCAAAAAAAAAAAAAAAAGACGTGAAAAAATAATTTTTTTTCAATTATAAATTGAAATGAGTGTATTTTAAATGTACTGGTGAGGTTATTTTCACCGTTTCTTTTTACTTTTTAAATGTGCCTACCAGAAAATGTAAAATGATATTTGTGACTATTACATTTGTGATTGCTTTCTAGAATTTTGTTTCTGATATCCATGAGACCTCTTTTGCTGGAAATAGTTGGAAAAGGAGGAAACTAAGTGCTTAGAAATGGAAATCGAAGTAAAGGGGTAAGAGAGCAGAAGGTCTCCCAGGAGTTGAAGGAAATCAGGATAAACTCTTCTTTGGCCCAGAACTGAGTTCCCATTAAGAAGGTGATTGCACCTGAGACCCACTCCCCACCAGTATATGATATGTTCATGTAACAAACATACACATGCACCCCCTAATCGAAAGTAAAAATGGGGGAAAAAAGAAGGTGTCTGCTGGGATGTGCTGTGGATGATGACATTCTCATGGGCAGAGCTCAGGGTGAGCAGCCTGTGTTCTGGGAAGAGAGCTTAAGACACACCACACAGCTATGAAAAGTGGCTCAAATACAAATCCTCCAGAATATCTCTTATATCAAAGTAACTTGGACTCTCTGCAGCCATAACAGAAATTGAAAAAAAGAAATCAGCAACCCTTTTCTCATAAAATAAAGAAGGCAATTGGATGGAGAGTCAGCCCTGGGGGAAGGGCTCTCCCTTCTAGCAAGAAAGAGGTAGAAAGTAATTGTCCAGATTTATTATTGCTACGTTAAGATATAGAAAGACACTGATAATATCTTTTTTAGCATACTATCTATATTGCTTTATTGTAGTAGATGTCAAAATATTCATAAGGATTTTTATGAAATCACTGCGGACTACAGCTGTCCCAAGTCTGTTACCTCATAAGATTTTAAGATCCTTATCCCTACCATTAAAAAAAAGAGAGAAAAAAGAAAAAAAAATCCTTATCCCTGAATTCTCCTACAATGAACCACACCAAGAACTTAATCCATTAAATTGAAAAGGAACTATTTTTTTCACTACCAGTTGTTGATTGCCATTGTATTAAGATTCTTCTTCTAGGGAACCACAAGTTTTTACTATACTTTTTATCAATAAAATTATAAATACATACTGCCCTGGACACGGAGAGAAAATAATCTTCACTCCCCACTGTCCTAATTCTCAAATATGCCCAGGAGAATCCAGAAAGGACGAAGCTACTGCTTGTATCGGAACTCCAGTTCACATCACCAAGTCCTGTACCCTCTAAATCTACAAAACTCTTTGCCTAATAAACAGAACACAGAAGCAACCAGAAGAAAGTTCCAGAGAAAACTATCCAATGCTTTTCCACACTCTGCTCCCTTCCCTAAATCAATCAGACCCACCCAGATTCATTGCTGGTATTTGGAATTGTTTTACAGATATAGCAAATCAAATGTTCAATGATTAAGATTTATAAATTAAATTTGAGACAAATTATTCACTTTTAAAAGAGATCTTTCTCTTAGGGAAAAAAAGGAGGGGGGTCATCACAAAGAATCCTAGTGTATTTGAAATATGACTCAACTTACAAAAAATTGTTTTCAATTAATACATAGCAACTAAGCATGAAAGCAAAATATTCCCAAGTGGCTTTGTTGCAGACCAGTTGTCATGTCAAGCAAGTAATTTTTTCTAAGTCTCCATGTTTGCACATGCAAAGTGGGGATAATAATATCTATCTCAAACATTTCTTAGAAAAGATCATTAGAAAGCATTCTATAAAGTCTAAGCTCTGTAGCAGACCTTCACAACTCTTGTTATGTTGCAGAATCAATTACCTGACAAGCTCTTTAAAAATACTCCTTTCCAGTCACTACCCTGTACCAGTTAAACTAGTCCTTGATGGTGAGCCCAAGCATTGATATGCTTTTAAATCTCCTCAGGTGATTCTAATATATGTTTAGGATTAGATGAGAGGGTTAAATGAGAACCATTGCTCTAGTGGTTCTTAACATTAACTGCCCATTGAAATCACCTGGGGTCTGGGGCACTTTAAAAAAATAGGGTCCACCGGGCGAGGTGGCTCAAGCCTGTATCCCAGTACTTTGGGAGGCCAAGACGAGAGGATTGCCTGAGTCCAGGGGTTAGAGACCAATCTGGGCAACTTGGTGAGACCTCATCTCTACAATAAATCAAAAAATTAGCCAGGTGTTGTGGCACATGCCTGTAGTTCCAGCTACTTGGAAGGCTGGGGCGGAAGGATCCCCTGAATCCAGCAGATCGAGGCTGCGGTGGCTGGGAGTGTGCCTCTGCATTCCAGCCTGGGCAGCAGAGTGAGACTTCAACTCAAAAAAAAAAAAATAGGGCCCATTTCCAGAGACTGATGTCACTGGTCTGGGGTGTGGCCTGGAGATGGAGATTTTTACAAGCTGCTGAGGTCTTTCTATGTGCAGCTGAGCTTGAAACCACACGTTAGAGCCAGCTTATCTAAGCATGTAGTCCTAAGAAGCATGTGAAGATTGTCTCAAGAATTCCTCTGTCCACTTGCCACTAAGTGGTACAATTTAGGGAAATTTAGAGAATTGTTAATTCCTTCACTTATTAAAAAAAAGAGAAAGAAAAACTAAACAAGTAACTGAAAGAAAAAAAAAGCCCCACAAGTTTCTCTGAAATACTGTGACAGGAAGTGTTTTCCATGTTCCTGCCCTTCCCTGTTCCTGTATGCCACATTCTCATCTTTTTTTTTTTCTGTTGTTTTCAATAGAATCAAAGCTAGAGACTCTATGAATTTTGGCATTATATCTATGTTTTATGGCCTCTACTATGGCGTAATGGGGAGAGACTTTGCTGAAATCTGCTCAGATTATATGGCTTCTACCATGGGGGTAAGTGTTGCTTTCATTCCTTAAAACTATGACACATAGAGAAGTATTCTCATCATACATATTTGCATCCATTTTCAGATATAGGTAAGTCTAAAGGAAATAGACTTACCTATTACCATAAGCTAATTATCATTTCCTTTGGTACTATTTGGTTCACCTAGTCCAATTGCTTTCTGGATTATCCTTGTGTCAAAAAAAGATATTAAAAATGTGCTAAATAAATTCTGACTATACATTGTTGTCTAGATTTTTTAAATTCCTAACTGTCTTTTTTTTCTTTCTTTTTAAAACTCTTTTAAAATTAAAATTCAAAATGGACATACTTTCTGGTTAGATGGATTTTCAATTCAGGTATTAGGAGTATGTACCTGTGTCTGACACATACAAATGTCTTAAAAGCTTACAAACCAGCCAGGCATGGTGGCTCATGCCTGTATTTCCAGTACTTTGGGAGACAGAGGCAAGAGGAATGCCTGAGCCCAGGGATTCGAGACAAGCCTAGGCAACTTGATGAGACCTCATCTCTACAATATATTTTTTTTAATTTAGCTGGGTATGTTGGTGTGTGCCTGTAGTCCCAGCTTCTTGGAAGGCTGAGGCAGAAGGATTGTCTGTGCCCAGCAGGTTGAGGCTACAGTAGCTGTGATTGTGCCACTGCATTCCAGCCTGGGTGAGAGAGTGAGACACCAACACACACACACACAAAAGGCTCAAACCAAGGGCTCCAAGTAGTTTCAGGAATTCCAAATCTCCGTTCTCTACTTGTCTTTTGGTGCACAGCCAGAAATGAGGTGGAAAAACTAGTGTAAATAGCAAAATAGAGTGAATTTCTGGACTGTTCTCCCTCCATTTATTGGGCAGGTCCTAAGTGGGCATGACCCACCCTGGTTGTCCTTTCCCTCTTCCATAGGTCTGTCTTACTCTTTTCCTAGTACCTACAACCTAACTTCTGTGGTGAAATGCTGAACAATATACCTTTGAGATTCCTCTGCCAACTGGAACAACTGCCTTTCTTGTAAAGTTTAAGATGAGCACAGAAAGAAGCATTTTAATTCCTGGTTTCTACAACAAAAGCCAGAAGTCATACCCCTCAGAAAATTCCCAAAGTCCCTTGTGTTTGCTTATGGACAGAAGAGGAAAAAAAGAATTGTATGTGTTTTGTTCTCCAGTGGAGCAGGAAGAAGAGATTTCATCTGGCAAGACAACCATGTCTTCAAGCACCAACTTTCTGGAGACTTCTTACCTGATCCCACTCCACTAGTCCTTAACATTTGTCATCCTGTCATCATTATTCCAGCTACCAAATCTACAAAACCACTGCCCCAAACCATTGGCACAGCCACCAGTAACTGGGACTAATGGTGTGTGTGTGTGTGTGTGTGTGTGTGTGTGTGTGTGTGTGTGTGTGTACATGCACGAAGTGCATGTGCATGCCTGTACTTGTGACTGAGGTAAGAAGACTGTACTTGTGACTGAGGTAAGAAGAAGAAACCTCCATTCCTATACCAGTGCCTAACCCCCACACCAGACCAATTAAGTCAGAATCTCTGGGAGTAGAGCCAATGCATCTGCTTCATTTTTTTAAAAAACTCCTTAGGGAAAGGAATACGCTATTAAGCCATCCAAAAGCATGGGTGAATTGTAAATGCATATGGCTAAGTGAAAGGAGCCAGTCCGAAAAGGCTTCATACTATATGATTCTATTCATGTGACATTTTGGAAAAGGTACAACTTTGGAGATGCTAAACAGATGCCAGGTTGCCAGGGGTTTAGGGAAGGATCATGGTTGAATAGGTGAAGCATTGGAACTTTTTAGAGTGGTGAAACTATTCTGTATAACACCATAATGGTGGATACAGGACACTATGCATTTGTCAAAATCCATAGAACTTTGTAACAGAAAGGATGAACCTTAATGTATGTAAATTTTTAAAAATTATTTATGAGAGAATCTGAGGATAAAATGCAGACTGTGACAGAATATTCTAACCACACTACAAAAGCATGAAATAACCTCACTCAAAGGAGTGGGAGGAAAAGATGCTGACCTAAGTAATTTTGAAACGAATGGAGATCATAAAACTAAAACTAAAGGAACTGTGCATAAGCACTGTGCTCTAGTTGATAAAGTTGTTGCCCTCACAGATATGGATTAACAATTCTGACACCAACACACACATATTCTGTAGTTAAACAGTAAGTAAATGGATGGCTAATAGTGGAAGCTAGATCTCTCACTGTCAGAGTGGAAGAATACTGATGAGCCATGGGAAAAGGTTAGAATAATCTATGAAATAACAGATTAGAGTTAGAGGCATCAGTATGAACTCATGTTTAGCTTAAACTAGATACATGTGGACACATAGAAATATTTACAAATATATTTTATATATGGACAAAAAATCTGGAATTTGTTTATTTTTAAAAATGTACATGTAATCTTACATGTTTGAATTTCAGTCACCTTCAAAGTATTCTCCATTTGATGCAATACACCCATCGAGATGCTTTCCCACTGCTCAAAACAGTTTTGGAACGCGTCAATTTGGATGCCTGTTAGTGCTTTTGACATTTTTTGTTTCACCTCTTTCACATCAGCAAAACGTGTTTCTCTGAGGACTTTTCATCTGGGGAAGGAACAGAAAGTTGCTTGGGGTGAAATTGGGTGAATAGGAAGGGTGGGGCATGGGAGTCATGCCATTTTTGGTCAAAAACTGCTGAACTCTCAGCACAGTGTGGGCAGATGAGCTTGTAAATCATCCAGCATGAAATGGGCAAATGCACTAAAGAATCTTCAAAAACAGTTCACTGAAGCCAAACGTAGCCTCTCACAACAATGCTAGCCAGTACACTGATACCAATAAATTCCTAGAACACTTACCTAGTGGGAGAAGCCTTTACTATAAGGGGCCCATCCTCCAAAAGATAATCCCAGGCTTTTTTGGGTCCCTCCTCATATATGGTTTAAGATATACATATATATTTCCTTGCTGTGTCAACTAAAAGGCCCTAGAAACAATGATACACTAGTAGCAATGAGCACACCTAGTGCCCAGATTTTAGTTTCTAATATTCTTTCATAAAAAGGGAACCAGGGCTTCTTGGAAAAATGACTGATGATAGGTCTGGACAGGGAATATACTATATAACTCTGGAGCATCTTGGAGTTCCAGAAAGCAAAAAAGTGCTTACAATAAAGCAAGAGAAACTCACAGTGATGGAAGGATGTCAAAGGAACACAGGAGCCAACTGAAAAAGCTCCCGGTGGGCAAAGCATGAGTTTGAGCAACAAAACAGAAAATGTAGTAGTAACAGCATTAGGTGATACTCAAAGCATAAAATGCATATCCATGAATCCACATTGATATAATTAAATGATTGAATAAACAGAGGAGAGTAGACTAATCTGTACAGAAGAATTTCACATAATTAGATTATCCTCCCTTAAGGAATGTGTGGTGATTCAATTTTATATGTCAATCGGTGGGGGCTATGATGCCCAGTTGTTTGGTAAAACACTAGTCTAGATGTTGCTGTGAAGGTATTTTGTAGATATGTTTCACCTCTACAATTAGTTGGCCCTAAGTGAAGACGATTACCCTCGGTACTCTGGATAGATCTCACCTAATCAGTCAAAGGCCTTGAAAACAAAAGCTCATTTTTTTAATCCAGTCCTCTTTTGATGGGCAACATGGTTGGTTCCATGTTCTTGCTATTGTGAACAATGCTGCAATAAACATACGTGTGCAGGTATCTTTTTTATAGAGTGACCTGAGTTCTTCTGGGTATATTCCCAGTAGGGGGATTGCGGGGTCATATGGAAGGTCAATTTTTAGAACTTTTAGGAATCGCCACACTGATTTCCACAGAGGCTGTACTAGTTTACACTCCCACCAACAGTGTAGAAGTGTTCCCTTTTCGCCACATCCTCTCCAGCATCTGTTATTTTTTGAGTTATTGATGATGGCCATTCTGATTGGAGTTAGGTGTTATCTCAGTGTAGTTTTAATTTCCATCTCCTTGATGACTAGTGAGGCTGAACATTTTTTCATGTGTCTGTTGGCTCGTATGTCTTCTTTTGAGAAATGTCTATTCATATTTAGCCCACTTTGTAATGCGACTGTTTGTTTTTTTTCCTTTCAGCACATTTGAGTTCCTTGTAGATCCTTGATGTTAGGCCTTCGTCAGACATGGAGCTGGCAAACATTTTCTCCCAGTCTGTGGACTGTCTTCCTGCTGTCTTTGGCTTTGCAGAAGCTTGTCAGTTTAATGAAGTCCCACTTGTCTATCTTATCTCTTACAGCCTGGGCACTTCGGGTTTTGATCAGGAATCGGTTGCCAGTTTCCATAAGAGTGTCTCCTGCATTTTCTAAGGTTCTTACAGTTTAAGGTTTTACATTTAGGTACATATATACAATGGAATATTACGCAGCCATAAAGAAGAACAAAATCTTGAACTTCGCAGCAACATGGGTGGAATTAGAGTTTATAATACTGAGTGATTTCTCACAGAAACAAAGAGCTGAGTATCACATGTTCTCACTTATACATGGACTTTGAACAACTACCATATTACTGTAAAAAAGGGATTGAAAGTAGTGGGAAACTGGGGGGAGGGGGCTGAGGGTAAGGGATGGGTAGCTGGGATTGATAGTAGTTGATATCCACCTGGGTAAGGGGAGACACACCTTATCAATAAGGGTAACTGCACAATGAACATTTGTATACCTAACCCTGAATTGTACCCCACAATTTCAAAATAAAATTAAAAGAGAAAAAAAAAACACATAACAGGAATTTGCAAGTAAATGTATGACAAATAAGAACTGCTTTTCTGTGTTTTATATGAGGCTTTTAAAGTATCAAATGTATAATTATAGTCTAATTTATGTACCAAAATGAAAAAAAATATTTATCTGCATATAAAGAATTAAAGACTCTGATCTTGAAAAAAAAAGAAAACAAAAACTGAGCCTCCCTAGAGAAGAAGGAATCCTGCCTCAGAACTGCAGCATCAGCCTTGCTAGAGTTTCCAGCCTACCGACATGCCCTACAGGTTTCTGACTTGCTCACAAATAAGTGAGAATTCTTTAAAATCATACTAATAAGCATAGCAATAATAGTAGGAGAAACTGGGTGTGTGGTATATGGGCAATCTCCGTACTATCTCCTTATTTTTTCTCTAAATCTCAAGCTATTATAAAATAATTTTTTTTAAAAAAACAAAGCCTCCTAAGAATTCTAATGGGCTGCCAATGTTGAGAACCACTCCCCATCCAGCATTGGAAAAGGCAAGTACCCAAATTAGTATTCTAAACGCATTGCCTTCCAGTGGTGATTTGTCTGTGTGCTCCCAATAATAACATGGGAATTGAAAAAGTAGAGAGATGCCTGGGTTTACTCCAGATCTCTGAATCAGAATCTCCAAAACAATTAAGGGAAGATGCAGTCTATGGATAAGCTCAACTGTTTCCTATATGCTTCTGAACTACAGCCCTGGATAAAAACTATTCCTTTAATTTTTTTTTAATAGAGTCAGGATCTCACTCTGTTATCCAGGCTGGAGTGCAGTGGCATAGTCATAGCTCATTGCAGCCTTGAACTCCTAGACTTAAGCAATCTTCCCGACTCAGTCTCCCGAATAGCTGGGGCCACAGAAACATGGCACCATGCTAGCTAAATTTTTTATGCATTTTTTTTTTTTTTTTGTAGAGATGGGGTTTCACTATGTTGCCCACACTGGTCTTGAACTCCTGACCTCAAGAAATCCTCCTGCCTTAGCCTCCCAAATTGTTGGGATTACAGGTGGGAGCCAATGCGCCCAGCTGATAAAATTGTTTCCTTTGCAAGGATTCTAAATGTGGAGCTTAGATGGGAGGGTGTAATTAGCAATATGCTTTGGGTCCTTTTGGGATTCAGTGGGTTTTTGCCTGGAAACCTTAACCTCTCTGTAGCATTGCTCCTACAGGAAAAGGTGCCTCACATTCTAAGCCAATTTAGAGGCCATGAAGATTCTATGTGTTGGGGCCTGCCTGTCCCAGGGCCTGGCAGTGGCTCCCCTGCATTCAGAGAATGCCATGTGCTGTCCTTTCCAGCTGTGTTCTGTTCATGTCCTCCAACAGTTCTGCAGTGACAGTGGGATGCCCACAAGGAGCTTGGCAGACAACATCTGTGCCGTCTGTGGGCAGATGATTGTGGAGCTCGATGAGAAACGGCTCATTGAAAACACCTACCAGCTTTCCTGTGACCATGTGTATCCTTTCTTAGGACCCTGCCTGGCCTTCATCTAGCCTTCTCCTTCCCTCCTGCTCCTCCTTTTGTCCCCACCTCTGCCTGGCTTTGCTCCCATCCCAAATCCCAGACCTTTCCCCTCCAGCCCAGTCTTTGTTCACTTCTGCTACATAATGAGCTGCTAATTAAGGTGAACTTCCTCCTTCAGGAATTTCCTTTAAGAGGACTCTTAATGCCAGAAGGACAGACAGTATCCCAGCAGGATGCTAGCTGGGAGGTTGACAGAAGTCATAGGGAACAGATAGCCAAAAAGGACCAGGGAGAGGGTATTCCAGGAATGGAAAAGAGGAACTCCAGACCATCCAGGTGGAGCCCCAGGTCTGAATCTCAGTGGACCAAGAAATACAAAGTGTGCTTTGCCACAAAGTAATCCTAGGAACCTACCTGTGGTCACAGCGGTCTTGGGGGCAGCCAAGGGAGGAAACCAAGCCTCCTTCTCAGCTTTGGTCTTGAGAAGAGGATAAGCCACAGGCAGCAGGACCCCTTGGATTACAAAAGGAGGATCCAAATTTGGCTCCTCTTCTGATGGGTTCCATTCCAATTACCTATCCCTTGGTGGAAGGAATCTTCAGGTGATAGGTACTAGTCCCCACCTCTGCCTGGCTTTGCTCCCATCCCAAATCCCAGACCTTTCCCCTCTGCTACATAATGAGATTTGAAGATGAAAGCCTGGGCCTGGAAACCAACATTCTCTGGGAACTCCAGTGACCCATTGTGGAGAGCTTCAATGTGCTGAAAAATGCTGGCATCAAGACCCCTGCACAAAGTGGCCTGGGCTACCTGAGCATGTAACTATGAAAATGAAAGCTTTATTTGGGTTGACCAACACCTCTATTTTAATTCTTCCTAAATGCAAAAAGGAGGAGGGCATCATTTATCTTTATTTGATAATATAGTATCAATTTGAGAATGTTATCATTATGTACCCAGTCAGTTCAGCGCTCTGGCTTTATGAGATGGTTGAAGTATCCATCCATCTCTTGCCTCTGAAGCTGACTTAATTCAGTCAGTCATACCTCATACAGAGCCTATGATTCAACACTGTTTAATCTGGACAATTTCCACTTATTCAATCCTGAAAGTAAAACTGGACCAAATTCATCTCCAAAGTAATAGGAGCCTTTACACTACCATTTAAGCCTTAAAATATTAAGGGAAGAAACATAAAGATATCCCATATGGAATTCTATAGTGGTTTTTCAGAGTGATACTTCCCCCCTCCCCCACCAAAAAACCATCATTTTTCATAGAAATTTTTCCAAGTCTGGCCCTAGTTTTAAACATGATTTACTTTGCAAATGTTGGAACAGAGCCCCTTCTGCCATTTGCAAGTGGAAATATTTTCTCTTTCCACCTTTAAAAGCCCTTAGGGATTGTTGTACATGTGTGCATATGTAATCTGAAATGTAGTCACCTTTAAATTTGCTTTGCAGGGAGTATTATTAACGGCCCATTTTAGTATGAGTCATATTAGCAAGGAGGGGGTTACCCGCGCATCACCCTGCAGCAGTTCAGCCAGTATGGAAGCTTTTCAATCATGAGATTTTGAAGATGAAAGAGAACATTAAAGAAGATGTGGACATTTCAGTGCTGGCTCATGACCCCTAGATTCTATACCTATGAGAAAGGTGGAGCTGTATTCCATCCCCCTTGAACGAAGGGCTGAATGGGTTTGGGTTCAAAACTTTTACTATAATACACCACTTGAAGGTTAAAGCATATTGCAAAAATGACCCCAGTTCCAGGAACATAAAGCAGTGGAAACTTCTAGTTGCAGAGAGGTCTAATATTGAGGAGTTAATATACATGGCCTTGCCTCGGCTACACTTCTACGGGCCTCCATTGGTTAGGGAGGCAACTTCTCCATCGTTGCTGGTCTCGTGGGTATGTAGTGGGTCAGATAGATCGTGTGATCTTGACCCAGTAAGCCACACTGGGAGCAACAACTATAGAAATAAATCAACAAATAGAATTGATCTCATTATAGTTCATCATTTTGCCCAAATCTACAATATTGGGGGACCTGGAAATACATATTTCCAAAATAATCAGCTTCATTCAAATATTCGTTTACTCTGGGCACTGCTAAAGGCTGGAGGGAGGGAGAAGGGATAAGATGGAGGGAGGAAGGAGGGATAAGGGACACACAGTAGCACACTGGGCACCAGGTCCACTACCGGGGGAGCAAGTGCCCACTAGAAGCCCATACCTCACCTGCACTCAATTTACTTATGTAGTAAATCCTCACATGTACCTCACAACCCTAAAATATTTTTTAAAACAAATTTTCATTCAATGAATATTTCTTAGGCACAGCTTAAGGTGCTGAGGACACAGAGGTGGATGGGACATCCCACAGGTAACATGTGGTCTAGGAGAGACAGGTGAGTACGTCCCCGATGCTGTGAGAAAACATAGGAGTTCACTCTAAAAAGTGGAGACGTTGGGGACAAAGGGTCAAACTCTCTGGACCAGGAGTCACTTACAAATGAATCTGTAAATGCCTAGAGTTTGAGAAGTTAAGTTTATTACTTTTATATTCTATTAAAAATAATTGGCTCCTTATCAGTAATAAAAAAGTCGAGGAAAAAATTTATGAAGTGAATGGAAATATTTATAAGTTTATTGCCACAAGTAATTTAGACTTGTTGAAGTGTTTAAGACAAGTCTGATTTCATAGAAGTTAATGAATAAGGCACCAAAAAATAGAATAGAGAAATACTATGGAAAATGCACAAGAAATGCACAATAGAATGATACCTTTATATAAGACATTACTGTAAAAAAGAGCTTTCAGATTCTTCATCTAATCTTACTGGAATCAAGTGGGGCAAGAACAAGACCAATGAGCTAAGTAAGTAAACACAGCTCTGACTCCAAGCTCATCGCCGCTGGGGGCTCTACTATATCACAGCCTCCTTAAAAAGTGACGTACTTCATCAAATCATGACTGACAGTCATGCTTACCCTCCATTAGGCCCTAAAGACGGATCATTCCATGTCTTCATGAACCAGACCTTGCCCATCAATATCTAGAAACTTCCCTAACAAGATGCTTCAGCTTTCATGAATTTTGTATCCGAGGTTGGTGTATTGTGGGCAAAAAGCAGACTTGCCCTTACTGCAAGGAGAAGGTTGATTTGAAGAGGATGATCAGTAATCCGTATCTTAAAAAAAAAAAAGTTACAAAATAGTATCTTAACTGTTTCTAGGGATGCATTCCTCAACCTAAACTTTCATTATCTTTCTATAGTTATAGCAGAAAACTTTCTGTTTTCCCTAACCACCCGTTTTCGAATGACTATGTCCTTACTTTCCTCTGTGCCTATACTTACTATTGTAACTAGGAAGTTAAGCGCCAGAAAACATTCCACATGAATTCCACATCAAGGGCTTTAGTGGAAATGTGATAGGACATGGCAAAAGACAGGTAAAATGCAGGGGGTGCCAAAAAATGTATATACATTTTAAGTATAATGTTTGCTCAAGAGATGGCATTCATCGAATGAATGCTAGTGTCGCCATGAGAAAGCAGTCAAAATGGCGGAAGCACAGTTGAGCAAACATCATATTATGCATTACTACCAAAATAGAATTCAATTTCGAAAAGTAATGCATAGACAACATCCCTTAAAATGTGTATACCTTTTTTTGGCACCCTATATATAGTAGAAGAATAATCATGATAGGTAAATGGGAAGATTGGATGGGTGGGTAGATAAATAAAACGATTGAAATGGACATTTCAAAAGCCCCAAATATGAACAAGAGTATAAAAAATATTTTAGGGTGTACTAAATTGTATTATTCCCAGAAATAAGTACATTTTCCCCCAGGACTTTGGTTTTTTAAACTCCATGCCATACCTCATCTCTTATTAGGCTAAACCCTAGTGATAATAATATTAAAAGGAAACAATGTCCTACAGAACTGGTCAACTTCCAGTAGCAACTAGGCTTTTAATAGACATCAGGGACACCCAATAGAGGAAACTCAGGACTCATTAAGGTCACAGGAAGGTAATAGCCCCCATCCAGAGCTGACTAGAAACACTTGGTCTTCTTTAGCCGGGCTCGGTGGCTCAGCCTGTAATCCTGCACCTTTGGGAGGCTGAGGTGAGTGGATTGCCTGAGCTCGTGGGTTCGAGACCCGCCTGGGCAGCGAGACCTCATCTCTACAATAAATCAAAAAAATCAGCCGGGCGTGGTAGCACATGCCTGTAATCCCGGCTACTGGGAAGGCTGAGGCGGAAGGATCGCCGGAGCCCAGCAGGTCGAGGTTGCGGTGGCCAGGAGTGGCCACTGCACTCCAGTCTGGGCAACAGAATGAAACTCCAATTCAAAAAAAAAAAAAAGAAACACTTGGTCTTCAATCTCACTGTTCTAAGACCACAGTATATCTCTTCTAGGAAGTGGGTAAGGGGTAAGATGGGATTCAAATATATTCCCCCTTAAGCAGAAGGCACTGAGAGGTTGGCATCAACCTGCCAAGTACTCTCTCTTATCACAAGACGCAGCCTGTCTCTACTTCCTGAGTAACAGTCCCCTACACTTTACAGTGCTAAAGGAAACACCTTCCCTGCTTCCTGCCCCCCTACACCGCCCCAAGCCAAAGCGACTACTGGCAGCAGCGCCCCCATCTGAGCACTGCAGATCAGGGGAGAACTTCTACGGAGGGAATCAGAAGGGGGCGGCATCAGTGGGTCTTTGGGTCTCAGGGTTGTGCCCCCACAATCAAGACCACCCTTTGCAGCCACTGGTCCAGCCACAGGCCCGGCCTTTCTCGGGGAGTCAGTGCCACTCAAGACTGAAGGTGTGTAGTGCTCCTTCCTCCTTCCCCTTCATCCACTGTCGCAGAATCCCCTGTCTGATAGGAGGAGACTGAGTCCAGAGAAGCTTTTGGTGAATAAGCAGTACATAAGTCTTTGTGATAAAATTGGCAATAATAGTATCATGTCACCTCAGATGATAGTTTACATAAAAGGCAATTCTTTAAATAATCTTGAGAAAACAAACTGTTGAATATCATTTACCATTTCAATGAGTCTCAAAGAGCTACATGTGAAAAAGCTGCCTTTTTGTTTGTAAAATTGCTATCAGAGATGCCATGCATTAAGTTTCCTTAGCACAACTTATCAAAGATACCAGGAAAAGATCTGTCTTATCGGATGAACTAGTGTTAGTCTTTTTAATACACAGTGAGTTCCCTCAGCTGTGCCAACTCCAGGCAAACCCAGAGCTAAGTTGCTATTCATCTATAGCAGCTTCTGATATTCTTTGTTTTTCAGTATAGTCATTTCTCTCTTCCTCCTTATTTAGCATATACCCTTGCCTTTTATTCTTGTTTTATAGTTTGGGATTTTATTGTAAATAGTTTTGATTTATTCAGAAATTGGGTATGGTGTAAATGACAATGATAATCATAATGTTCTAAAAATAACGTAAGAAGGCCAAGCACAATGGCTTATGCCTGTAATCCCATCACTTTGGGAGGCTGAGGCAGGAGGATTGCTTGAGCCCAGGAGTTCAAGACCAGCCTGGGCAACATAGAGAGACCTTGTCTCTACAAAAAATTAAAAAATTATCTGAGCCTGGTAGCACACGTCTATAGTCCCAGCTACTCGAGAGACTGAGCCCAGGAGGTAAAGGTGTAGTGAACCATGATCTTGCTACTACACTCCAGCCTGGGCAACAGTGTGAGAGCTTGACTCAAAAAATAATAATAATTAATTAAGCACACAGAATTCATAAGAAAGGAAATATACATTCATTACATTGCTTATTGCATTTGCAAATGATATTTATGAATATTTCTGCTACTTGGTTCCATATAGAACAGCCTCCTTAACTGAGATTTAGCTGGGAGCGCACACATTTTTTGTATGGAAAAATCCTGGATTGGCTTCGTTATTTGGTGGCCTGGCAGCCTGTGGTGATAGGAATAGTTCAAGGCATTAACTATTCACTAGGCCTGGAATAATAGCACAACAGATTTACTCCAGAAGCAGCATATTGCATGGTAGAAGTATTATTACACACTTGGTCCTACAATTAATTTTTTTTTTCCTTCATTTTAGAGATGATCCCAAGAGCTTAGTAAACTAAGTAAAATCTGGTGTCATACTTAAGCAATTTGTCTATGTGGAATGAATTTAAAGAAAAGCTGAACAATGGAATAAAGAAATAAAGCGTGCTTATTCATCTTTCCCATTACAGTCCTATTTTAACCCATAGATCTGACACTTTTGTTATACCCCACTGTGGACATTCCACCTCCAATTTGCGAATGATCCCGTCTACAAGATGTTTCAGAACCTTACAAAGTCCTTCTCAGCTCATTAGCCATAGCGAATGCCTTCGCATCAGGTCACCATCTTCAAAGAAGTAGGTGGAGTTGTTAAGTAACCTGTGGCTTAAGAATACTCTCTTCTCTGCTCTGTGTGCTTGTCACCACATGATGGCTCTGGCACCACAAAGCCCTCTGTAGAGAGAGGATTACCCCCAAAGCCTCTGGCACCAGATGCCTCGCCTTCTCAATGGGTCACAGCTACTCTTGGTTTCCTGGGGCTGCCATATGCACTCAATCCATGCAAGTGGAAAGAATTACTCTTCTTGTGTGCCACTACACACACCACACACACGTGCGCATGCTCACGCATGCATGCACACATACACAGTTATGCACAACTGTTGCGGTATTCTGCTTTCAATTTCTTCATAGCACTTATCAATACCTGAAATCATATCATAAATGTATTTGTTTATTATTTGTCTTCCTCTCCATGACGGCAAAGAATTGTATCTGTTTTGTTCCTGACCAAAGCCTTACCACTTTGAACACTACCTGGCGGCACTCAGAGAATATTTGTTGAAAGGATAAATTAATCTGGCAGAAGGGAACAAAATTAACCAGGTAGGGAAGGCAGTCAGAAGGAATTAATCCATGGCCAGGTGAGGTGCCTCACTCCTGTAATCTCAGCACCTTGGGAGGCTGAGGTGGAGGGATTACTTGATCCCAAGAGTTTGAGGCCAGCCTGGGCAACATAGCAAGACCCTCATCTTTACAAAAAAAAATCAAGAAATTAACCAGTGTGGACGATTGCTTGAGCACAAGAGTTTGAGGCTGTGGTGAGCCATGATCATGCCACTGCACTGCAGTCTGGGCAACAGAGTGAGACCCTACTCAAAAAAAAAAAAAGAATCCATGAATGATATGTTAGACTTCCAAAATTAATTTGTTTTAAATTACTAGTCATTTGTTAAACAGACAAAACTGTATACGTGACATCATATGTCTACTTGAAGCCATTACACTTGTATGAAGTAAAAAGAAAAGACACTGATTATTTTCCTTGTCCAAATATTGGCAGTGTACCTAACTTAATGCTATTCAAAGCTTCATCATCAAGGTAACTCACACTAAGATTTCTAATTGTTAGAAATTTTTTTCTTCACACTCCCCATGGTTTCAGTATTACAATTAGTCTACCATCCAGATACTAGAAGATTTAATTCTGGTTTATTTCTCTACTCAGCAAACATTCCAGGAATGCAATACTTACTACACACTAGGCATATGCAAGGATTAAGAAGATAAAACAAGATTCCAGAGCTTATAGTCTATTGACAAACAACACTTCATATTTGGATGAAGGGCTAACTAAAAATTAGTTTTTCTTGTCTTAAAAAAAAGAGTCTTTAAATTGATCTCTGATGTATTTTTCACTTACCTTTTATGGACAGCTGCATGAGGGTAGCTTTTAGAACCCTTTAGAATTCTGGACAAGTAAACCAGTGTTTATCTTCATGAAATTCAAAACAACCCTCAGAGCTCAGGAATGTCAGATAATCACTAAACAACCTCAGGGGGAAAAAAATGAAAATTCTATTCCTTTATACAGTTTAAGTATTTACAATTGAATCCCAATTTTGTAAAGTAGTATGTATACAGGCACTGAAGAGACTGGAGGGCTATACACATCCCAAAGGGATCCTAATTTTCTTTTATATGCTCTTATCTCTTTTCCAAATTGTCAACAGTTAAATGTTTAAAGTTTGCAATGAGAAAATGATTATTTTTTAAAGATTACTTTAAATCTATCAATTAACTAGAAGCGATGACTGTTTTTTAAATTCTTGAAATTAAACATATAGATCAAGTCAGTGTTAAAGCCATCTGGTTCTCGTGCTAATTTTTTTTTTTTTTTTTTTTTGAGTTGGAGTCTCACTCCTTCACCCAGGCTGGAGTGCAGTGGCATGCATGCTCACGGCCATCCCAGCGTCGACCTCCTGGGTTCCAGCGATCCTTCCGCCTCAGCCTTCCAAGTAGCCAGAACTACAGACGTCCGCTACCACGCCCGGCTATTTTTAATTTTATTGTAGAGATGAGGTCTTCCCAGGGCTGGTCTCAAATCTGCGGGCTCAAGCAATCCATTCGCCTCAGCCTCCCAAAGTGCTGGAATTATAGGCTGAGCCACTGAGCTCGGCCTCTCATGCTAACTAACATGATGCTCAATGGAGGAAACAGAGAAATAAAACAGAAAGTTCATTATTGTGTTGATTTCTGTGACATCTCCTCAAGTTTCCTTCTTCTGAACATGTCTGTTTTTTTTCTTAGGCTGGCTGCTGGTTCCTCCATAACATTTTCTCAGGCATTTGTATGAAAGAGAAGCAGCCCTATGTGAGTTCCCTAAGAACTAAACCCTATTATGCATTTAATGAACTTATTTATTTGGAATACCTGCAAAAACAGGGTTATATCCTTGCTATATCCCTTATATCCCTATATCCTTGCTAGTACCCATAACAGAAATATATCCATTTATAAGTTATTATATATGGTAATGAGTCACTTATTGGAAAATAATAATAGTAATAATGATAGCTAACACCAGCTACTAGCATCCCCCTTACCCCTTACAATGTATCCATGGTTCCCATTCTCATAGGCTTGACCTCCTCACCCCTCCAGAGAGAACAGGAAGCAAGGAGCATGGGCTCAGTGGTTCACTTGCATTCCTGTATTTCGCACTCTCAGAACCCTAGGATGTAGAGATCACCATCCTTATTTTAAAGACATTCCTATATTAAAGTTCAAATTGAGCTACTTGCCCAAGATTACACACCTACTAACCAGGTCTTTCTGACTCCAGAGCCCAGTTAACCACATAAACCCAGTTCTGGTTGAGAACTGAGCAGGGGTCAAAGGAAGAAGGTAATTTCCCTTTATGTGGTTTCCAGCACCAAAGGGAGTTGCATCAAATTAGCAAATAGCTCTTAGCAGAGAATGTTGCATCAAAATTTAACATATAGCATTATTAAATATAGATTATAAAAATTATCATATGGCAGTGGTGTCTATCTTTAAATTCTATTTTTAGCCGGGCTCGGTGGCTCAGCCTGTAATCCCACGCCTTTGGGAGGCTGAGGTAAGTGGACTGCCTGGGCAGGCAAGACCTCATCTCTACAATAAGTCAAAAAATTAGCCAGGCGTGGTAGCACACACCTATAATTCCAGCTACTTGGAAGGCTGAGGCGGAAGGATCACTGGAGCCCAGCAGGTCGAGGCTGCGGTGGCCAGGAGCGGCCACTGCTCTCCAGTCTGGGCGACAGAGTGAGACTCCAACTCAAATAAATAAATAAATAAATAAATAAATAAATAAATTCTATTTTTGAGTCATGAAGAACCTCTAGTTATATACTTGTATAGGAATCTATGTAATTCACATGTACTTTTCAAATTATTCAGAAGGAAAAAAAGGAAGGTCTTTTTTGACTTATAAAAAAGACTTTTAAAGAAGAAAAAAGCAACAGGATACAGGGCAAACAGACTAGAGGGCAGAGACTGAGAACCAGAGTGACTAGACACTAGTTAGAACTTAGGTAGTGAAGGAAAGTTGTTAAGGCTGAAGAAGATCAGAGTCAGGGTGTGGGAGGCTTCTCTCAAATTATTCTAAACTGAGCGCTTTACTTACCTTCATGATTTGTTTTCACAGAAAGACATAATTTACTGTACCCTGTATCATGTACCCTCTGGCTGGAGAAACCTATCACGTAGCCAGAAAGACAGATCCAGTTCACATGAAAATACACCCTCGAGGTATTTTGTAGCTTGTAGAGTTAAACGGGAACACACAACACTTTTTTCTAGGAAGAGCAAGTTTGGCTCAGTGCTCCAAATATTTGGCTTTGTTGTTCTTGAGAACAGTTGCACAGAGAGATGACAACTGGCCGGGAAGAAGAATACCCTCTGTAGCCACAGAGGAGTCTCTTCACAGAAAACTGACGGATTTGACACAGTTATTTGAAACCTTAAGTTCATTTGTGCTGTTTTCTAGTGAACTAAGCCCATTGCTAGAGTATAGGCAGCCCTCCATGCCTGTGGGTTCCGTGTCCATGGATTCAACCAACCACAGGTCAAAAATACTCTGCAAAAATGTTTAAATAAAAAATAGCAATACAACAATAAAAATAATACAAATTTTTAAAAGTACAAATATTTACATAGTATTTGCATTGTATTTGGTATTCTAAGTAATATAGAGATGATTTAAAGTATACAGGAAACTACTTGGGAAGCTGAGGCAGGAGGATCACTTGAGCCCAGGAGTTCGAGGCTACAGTGAGCTTTGATCACACCACGGCACCCTAGCCTGAGTGCAGTGACTTCATCTCTAAAAAAGAAAAGTAAAAATAAAAATAAATAAAGTGTACAGGAGGATATACATAGGTTATATGCAGATACTATGCCATGCATATATGAGATTTGAGCATGCGCCAACTTTTATACCCACGGGGAGTCCTGGAAACAAGTCCCCTCGGATATCAAGGGATGACTGTATTCAGATAATGGACTTAGATCATGAATATCTCATGCAATAAAGAAAAATCAAGAGCCACTGTTTCTCATCTGGAAAGTCTTTATAAAACAGCAATCTAGATAAAATGTGAACAGTTTTAGCAGTTTTAGTAAGCAAGTACTCAAATGACAGTGCATTCATGTAGTTTTTACATAATTATGTCAGAAGGAACTTCATTACAACTAGTGATATAAAGACCCGAACTTGACTAAGACTGGCCTTTCACATAGGAACCTAGGACTTTATTGCAGCTCTCAGATTTAACCAAAACCCTTCCTTCTGAGCCTCGTCAGCGGGCCACTCCAGGTAGGTCTTGGTGTTCATGATCTTCCGCAGCTTACAGAAGCGCTGGGGAATGGCTTTCTTCTCGATGGGCTCCAGGAGAATGAGGATGGCAGCATCGTTGTTCTCATCAAAGAGACGGAAGTGGGAGAAGTCCAATTCATACTTGCACCATTCACTCTTCACAAAGTTTTCAGAAAGCACAAAGACAGTCTTGTGGCTCTTCTCAATAGAATCAATGATATTGTCAATGATCCACTTGCCAGGAATGAAGTCCCGCTTGTGAAGGCACAACCTGAAAGGAGGGTTGAAGTGCTCTAACTCCCGGACCATCAGGTTCTCCACCCAGTAGGAATCCCGTTCACTGTAAGACACAAATGCATCATAGCAGATGTCCCTGCCGGGAGCTTTCTTGGGCTTCCTCTTGGCCTGGAGCCAGGCCCACATCATTCTCATGTACCACAGGCCATGGAAACGGTGGCACAGAACCCCCGTGAGCAGGATCAGTAGGAATAGGGCACAGCACGTGCCAGACACCAGCGCAGCCTTGTGGCATTCAGACACCGAGAGACGGACGTCCAGAACCCGCTGGCCCCGCACGTGGGATGGAGAGTCACACAGGTAGTTTTCTGGCCAATCGATAAGAACCTCAGCCAGGGCTTGCTGCTTCTGAGTGAAAGACAGGAAGTCACAGGAGCAAATGAAGTTGTTGCCCCCAGCTTCCAAAGTCTTCAGTGTATGGAAAGACTCAAGTTGCTCCTTAGAGAAAGTATTGATGGTATTTCTGCTGATACTCAGCACTAGTAACGTGGGTAAGAGGGAGGCATCTGGGAGAGTCTTCAACTTATTTCTGGAAATAAAAAGTTCTTTGAGTTGTGGCAAAAACAAAGTGTATGACTCAAGATTGTTGTTGCTAATATCTAAAACGTCCAGTGTCTGGGGAATGCACTGGGTAACAGTGTCTAATCGAGCACTGGATAAGTTCAAATATGTCAACTTTCCTGGCCACTGACAAGTTTCAGGCATAGAACGAAAACTATTCTTACTGACATCAAGGTCAGTCAGGTTTTTCAGAGTAAGTAAAGTCTCTCCAGTTATCTTTAATGATGTCAAATGATTTTGTCTTAAAATTAAGGTTTGTAGGGAGGGCCAGGCACCCTCACAGGCGGCATTTTTCAAGTATTCTTCGACCATCAAGTTTTCATTGAGATCCAAGTATTCCAATGATTTTAAATGCTGGGAAAGTAAACAAGGAACCAGAAAAACCTTACTGTTTTCTACTGTGATTCTTTTCACTCTTTCTGTGAGTGAATATACAGAACGCAGATCATTAAATAGATAAAACTTTGGAATCCTCAGCCTCCGTATTGTTAATGTTTCCACTTTACCTGGGTCTGTAACTCTGTCTTTCTCAGATGCAATAAAATTACCAATTCCATACAGGGTGCAGTCATCAAGCTCTATGTCTAACAACTCGGAAGCATAGCTCAAAAGTTTCAGGATCCGAGACAAACTTTCATCTGTGATTTCCACATTTTTCAATGTAAACTTTTTAAGCAATGGATTTGTTTCACTAATGGATAGTCCTGAAAAACGGAAAGTGTTCAGATCACTATTTCTCAGTTCCAAATGTTCCACAGAACTTAAAACATCTACAAAAATCTCCAACAGTAACATAGGCTTCTCTGTATGAAGGATCAGATGACTTATATTCTGAATTGACTTCAAACTTGTTGGCTCATAACTCTGATGATTTGAAGCCTCAATCTCAAGTTCCTTAAGAAAGGTAAGTCCAGCAAAATCCTTTCTCTGAATCTTAGAGAAGGTATATATATTTCCTACTTGCAGGATTCGCAAATCTGTGAGATGAGAAAAAAGAGATGTTTCTCCTAGTGTTTTGTAAGGATTTCCCAGTAAGTTTAAGAATGTCAAAGACGAAAGGGGCCTGAACCAGGAGGATGATAAGTTAGATAAGTAATTATAGGATAAGTCCAAATGTTCCAGACTTCCCAGGGAAGAAAAAGATTCTTCACCTATTGTGGTAATTCTATTGGACTCCAGTATCAGAGCCTTGAGGTTCACACACCTCTGCAGGTCACTGTTGCTAATATAGGTGATGCCATTGTTGGACAGGTTAAGGCTTTTTACAGCTGCTGTGAGCCCCAAGGGAATGGAGTTTAAAGATCTTAAGCTGCCATCACAGATACCATCAGGGTTACAAGACAGAGAAGTCTGAGCAGGGGATTCTTCTTTGGAGAGGCTGATGACAGTCCCCAAGGCCCACACCATCCACAAAGCATGTGGCATTGTCCAGTGATTCAACCTATAAATAAAAGAGGTTCAAATGAGTGATTGTGTTTGAAAGTATATCATAATTCCGATTATTGAGAAATGTTTTATGGGCATCACACACACACACACACACACACACACACACACACACACACACACAACCAATGGAATATATGAATAGAGATAAAAAATGATTCCCTAATCGGAACTGGCATCCAATTCCTGTACAAAACCCGTAACCCACAGTACATAAGAGAGAAGATAGACAAATGGGACCTTATTAAACTGACAA